CTAAAGTCTGCAGAATCTGCCTGATTTATAGGGCCACAGGGAACATAATGGCCTTGCCACCACTAGTAGTATGAACTCGGGCAAGTAAGAGGATCTTACTTGGCCTCTGCTGTTTTTTCTTCTGTGAAATGGAACAATAATGTTTCTTCTTGTTAATACCATTGGAAGGGAAAAGCAGTAACATATATAAAGCACTTACAAAAGGGCCTCTTCAGTTGACAAGAAAGAATATTTGAGGTTGAATAAGGGCTCAACTATCCTGAACTATTAGTATGGCTACAGAATGGGGAACTACATCTACATGTAATCATGGAATAGACGGTATGTGAAAGAATAAGAAATGTAGGGTAATAGAAAAAGCAACTCAGAAATAGTTATAAGGCAAAAACAATTTAAAATAATTAAACTCTCATAAATAGCCCAATATAAAGGGATACAAACATAGTCTCTTGCGTTAAAAAACCAACAAAACCAGTCCAGCCTTGAAACTCTCCTACTATTTTTGTAAAAATTACTAAAATGCCATATGGAATTCAACAAACTTGGACAAGCAATTATTAAGTACCCACTAAGATGTAAGAGCTGGGGTAAAAACGTATATAAGCCATTACTCATGCCTTCTAAGATCTCAAGGCACATATGATCTGCACACGTATCGCTAAACAGGCAAAGTATAAACCTATTCTATCAGAATTTAGAGAATAAAGTATTTAATTCTTCCTGTGGGAAGAGGAATGGGGAATAAGTTTCAAATGTTTCTCCAGAGTTACAATTCAAATGTCTACCTAATGAAGTAATTTCATAACTGTGCATAAATAATAGGGAGTGGGAAGGGTTTGGAAAACTGGATAGCGCACTCCAGCTTACAGAAATTCATGCTCGAGTTTTCAAAAAATTATCATGTATATCAACAAAACCATTCGAAGCCAGTTTGCAACCTTTGCAATACAAAAAGGAAGTGCTATTTAAATTCGATTACGTATCAAGGTTGAACATCATCAGGTAGAGAAGGGGAACTGTTGAAATCCTAGACCAGATAAATATCTTTTGCTGAGAGCCAGAGATGAAGATACTTGGAATGTGCCGTTATCAGAAGATGGGCCAGGGAGTCAACAATGAGGTGCGAAGGGTGAGATCAGCCTAGATTACAAAAGGCCATGAATGTAATGATAAGCAGTTAAGCCCTCATCTTGAAGGCATCAAAGACCACTGCATTAAGTTCCTTTCATAGCATCATTTTAAGAGTTCAAGGGTTTCTCAGGTCTTTATACAAACAGATGTATTATTATAAGTGACTCTCTAACATACAGCATCAACATGTTCTCTCTCACTGAGAGAAGTCTTATGGAATCACCATAGTGGAAAATATGTACATTTGAAAAATTCATTCAATTAATGATTTGTATATTTATAAACATCTGCTATTTAATAAAATGGATGGCTCAGGTTACACAGATGATATCCAAGTTCATGCTGAATTTTTCTTCTGAGAGTTCTAAATATACATACAGCTTTTAAAAGGTACTCAGTAACGAATATTTAGTAATAATTTAAAATTACTGCATGCTTCTATATGCTATGCACTATCCCAAGTGCTGTATAAGTAACTATTTTATGTCATTTCACTTAATTTTTATAAAATCCTCACTGCTATATACAGTGTTACCCCATTTTACAAGTGAAGAAACAGAGGTTAAATAATCTGCCCAAAGGCCTGCACCCAGTAAGTAAACAAGCTGATGTTTGACTTGAGCAGTCTATCTCTCCAGTGTGCGTACTCTCAACGTTGAGATTCTATGCTCTATATGAACTGATGGATAACTGGAGTTGGCCTTTCCTTGTTCGCCTGTTGAACCAGGCCTTCTTTCTTTTAGGAGTGTGGTAGGCTCTGTCCTCCTTGGCCTTCCGAGGTCCTATCTGCTCTTGTTGCACTAGGCTATCCCTAAAATTCTTTCTTGTGGTTGATTGTTAGAATTTCTTTTATTTAATGGCTTATTTTCATACTACCATAATTGCCTTTTTCTGTACGGCACCCCCAGTCCCACCATTTTTGGGCTACTACCCGACTTCTTTAAAATCTCCTCCATTCTAACAGGACATATCGAGCAGAGGGCTTGGATCTACTTTGTCACTACCTCTTTATTACAGAAAAAAAAAAAAAAAGTTTGGTACATAATAAAAGAAATCACAACACAAAATACAGTATTTAATTTCCAGACTTTTTTGTGATTTCACGGTTAACCGTGATCAGGATCCCTTTGTAACACAGCTACTGTGGCTTTTTGCATAGTTTCTTTCTGCTTAGAAATGGTTCCTAAACTAGCATTTTTGGGATGCTACACTAGCAACTGTCATTTAGAATGACTTTAATCTGCTGCTTTGTCACAAAAAATTATACTGTCAAGTTTTAACTTGACTTGTATTCAACTCAAGGATTCATGATAATATGCATGTTGACAACGTTGACGTGACCCTCCTAAATAAAGAGGCCAAAATTTCTTACCAGACATATAAAATTACCTATGGGTAATTACTTCACAGAGCTCAGTTTATGCAGTTCTTTCCCTCATTGTTTTGAAGTTGCTAACAAATTTCTTCCACCAATATACCTACTCTTCCGTTGTTCGTTTCAATAAGCGCTTCTCCAGAGCCTCAGGCACGGCGCTTCCAAATGTCAGAAGCTATTAGCTCAGCACATTCATCTTTGTTTCCTTATTTCTCCTGAGTAGCCTGTCTTTCTCAGAGGTGAGTCCAGGTGGCTTAACATAACATGGATGTGGGGTGTGTGTGTGTGTGTGTGTGTGTGTGTGTATGTGAGTGTATGCACGCAAGTGTGTATATTTTCTCAAAATGAGGAATTATAGCCATTTATCTTATCTCTCATACTTGCTATTAGCTTGCAAACATCTTTTTATCCCTCATGGTATCTACCATGAAACCTATACCTTGCTACAGAGGGTGAAATGCATTTTAAAAACTAGGTCTTTATTGATCTATCGATCTGTGATTGAGCTATTGATTGATTTATCGATCTATTGATCTATCTCTGTTTTCTACAGCCTCCACTTTACAGAAATGGGAAGAACATTTTGAGAAAGGACAGATTCTGTATTTTGAAAAGCAATTTGAAAAAAATCATCATGCTGTTTTTCAATGAACTTCCAAACTATGTGTCTCTAATTTTTGTTCCTATTATCTTAAACATATAATTACATGTGTGTGCGTGCAGGGAGATGTGTGTGTGTACCATATTTTTGCCATCAGGCATATAAGGGCTACATTTCTTCTTCCAACCCAAATTTTGTTTCTCTACCCTTTGGCCAAACTCTATCTGAAAACATTTCATGTGTTTCATGGGTGATTTTTTGTAATCAAGTTCAGCTCTTACCAAGCAGAGGCACCATATAATCAGGCGCACTGGCTCTTTGAGGCCTGCAAAGAACTGTGTGTAACAGAGCATACAGACTCATCAAAGCAGCACCTGAATTAAAACCAAAAGGCAGGAGAAACAGAAATCTCTTTCGATGTAAAATCACTTGCTCAAATTAAAAATATTTTTTAGTGTTTTACAATCATGCAGAAAGCTGCAACTACGTGGTCAGTCCTCAAAGGATCCTGTCTTGGATACAGGGAAACAAACATCTAGATAAGACTTGAGGACTATTGTGCCACCATCTTCTTAGTTATCAGTACTTGAAGCAAACTTTGAAGCCTCTCACTTCTCTTGACCCAACATAATTCTCTTAATCCAACATACTGTTGTTATGAACATCAAACAAAAGCATAGGGAAATTAGTGACATACTCTACATAAATACAAGGGAATGTTATTACTGGTTTTTATCAAGGAAAACATTTGCTGGAAAAGAGTACCTTTATCCTGTTTGGAATTTGCCAGTCCATTGTTTAATAATGAGCATTGTAGCATAATTTGGCTAGGTAAATTTCATTGCTTTTAATCTGATCAATCCGTTGACCCCATCTTCTAAAAAACTAACCCCTTTTCTAGGGTCTATTATATTACATTACAGTATAACATGGGGTATGAAAGAAAGTTATGGTATTAAGTCATGATAGAAGTGATTTTGGATTGATGCTTTCTTGTGTTTTTCCTATACTGCCACACTTGTATTTTACTTGTCTGTGCAAGAAGCACATTTTTTCATATTAGGATTACTCAGGTTATAAAAAACTATCATGAAGTCATATGTACTATACATTTACATAGTAATGAATAGACTCTTATCAGATAGCTTGAGTAGTCTGTTAGAAATGTTACTTAATAGGTACTCAAGCAACTGGAAGAAATCAGTTTAATCTTTAAAAATCTTTAAACATTTATATATTGCAGTCTGAGTGGTGATGTAGATGTTAGTCAGATTTAAGCAAAAAATACAAAGTATACATTTCAAGAGAAACACAAGCTTATTACATCAGAGTACATAACTTCTTCCAAATTATAGATCTTGTATATAATCTAGTAAATGAATTTTTAAAAATCAAATTAATGATTTGTTGTATGAGACTTGATATTACTAATATACAGAAGGCATCTTTAAGCAGTAAGATAGTCTCCCTAATGCTTTATTATTTTGTTCAGTAATTATTTTTGTTCAGTATTTTCCCTATCAATGGTAAAAAGGTTGTATCAGTCCAGCCCCAAGAACTTAACAATATAAATTGGATTTTAAGAGTATTCCTCCACATATTATTTTTTGTTTTACATATTTGTAGCCATGTGCACACTTAATTCTGTGTTTCTTTTTACTGGGAAAAGATAATAGCTATGGGCCACAGCTGTTTACTCTGTCCAGGGGAAATAAGCATCTATGTCAAATCCAACCTCTTGATGTTAGCATAGGCCTCATTTGACCAAAAGAGAGCTATATTATTTATAAAGGCAGTTTCTATCCCCGAACGTCAAGAAGTTGTAAAAACAGCCATTTAGCTTTCTGTTTCCTCAAAAACCTCCTGACTGCAAGTGAAACAAATGCTTCTTACCTGCAGTGCACAACCATCGGACCAGCGTCGGGAGGGTTACAGGTTTTGACTCTACGTAAGAAAGCTAGAAAAGGTGTAGGGTGTTCTGGAACACCATGATCAGGCCAGGCGGTGAACTGGAATTGTCTCACTTCTCTCTTCTCACTGGAACCATTCTGTGAAGAAGGAATATCAGCTGAAATTCTGTTTTCCCAGCCTCAGGTGGTAAGGACGAATAACAGGGAAGAAGTAATGCTAAAATGTGCTATCTTAATTCCCTTCTCCCACCCTATATCCTTTGGGAAGACACAATCGTTAGAGATAGAAATCCCAAGCTATTTGTAAGTGACAAATATTTGCTCAGGAAGACAAAATTCTAAGGTGAGAAGCATTACATTTTTTAGGTTTAACTACCAGGAGAGCTCCCATCACATTTATTTTACAGGAAGAGCTAGTTCTTCTTCATCTATTCTTCATTGGCTGAAACTTTCATTCAGAGCAAGAGTTTTATATTTACTGATAAATTGCCAGACAAAAAGAAAAATGGCTGAGTGATAATGGAAGATTTATTTCATTCTTCACTGTTGCTGTTGGGATCAAGACTTCAGTAAAGCCTTAAGAGATTTGATTTCTCAAAAGAAGCTTTCTTTAAACAATAGAGAGGGGAAAGGGAGGAGAAAAAGATAAAAAGCAAACCTTGTAAAGTGCAAATGTTCGAACACAATATGTGGCCAGCTCCACGGTATCAAGCAGCGTTACTTGAACCAGTCCATGGGTTTCAGTGCCTCTACTGGGCCAATACTGGTCACACTTCACCTACAAGAAACAAGTGACACATTCAGGACAAATGCACATCAATTTCTCTATTAACTTTACTTTGAGTTGCTGTGGAAGGAAAACAGCTTTTCTGCATTTCATTTTACGTTGATCTTTTTCTGGCATGCATTTTTGTTATCCCAATATATGTAAATTACTGCTCTGATGCCAATATAAACCACATTTTTCAAACTGGTAGGAATACTAAACAGTAACAGATTCAATTTTCCTGGAGAAAAATAAGTTGCAGATCGTTGCTGGGTAAAATACAGAGAGAAGGATTTGAAACTTCAGTGTGGTTGAAAAGAAAACAAATTTATCCTGGGAGAGACGTTAGGAATCGCATCAGGAAGATGACACTTTGGCATTTAAACTACATGGTAAGATAGTTAGTGTGAATTCATCAAGATTTAAAAGGCACAAGGTATTTCATCTCGAGCTATCACCACTTCCAAAGATGCTTGTTTAAAGAAAAGTAGAAATAATTGCGAAATCTATCAACGTATACTAAACAACATAAGCATGTCCTTTTTTATAAACACAAGATAAATGCTATTTGTATCCAAAGCAAATGAACCCTATAATGTCTACAGGGAAAAGAGCTGTCTGTTCTTTAAAAAGAGTCTCAGAGGGTCATACACTAACATTACAAAGTTTAAATAATTTAAAATTCATTCAAGATGAATACTCTACAATTTCTATGTGGAGTGGAACAAAAACACATACAAAGTATTCAACCTAATTAGTTTAACACACAACAAAGGATAATTCCAAGTCTGTAGTAAGCCTCAAATTTACTGAATGAGTCTGTGGGACATTAAAAAGTATAATGAAAAATAACAAACACAGCACTATATTTTTGTACTAAGGTCATAGACCAGACTATATTTACCCTTTCTATCTCAGATTCCTTTTTAATGGGAGTAATTCTTAAGGGAAGCCAACTGAAATACATTTCTCTAGGTAAAGAAAGCTCCTAGCAGTATTTTTCAAAAGGGAATACACCTTTCTATTTGAAAAAGAAAGAACGTAAAATCACAATCTTTGGATTTAAACGAAGGCAATAAAGCATTATTATTATAGACACTAGAATTTTTTTGGTCCAGCAAATAGAATTATTACATAATGATTTGCTTTTTTGTTTAATATGAGTATTCATAGCATTCCGTGAATAATATTGTAATTTTTTCTTTCGCAGAGATAGCATCTGTTCCTCTGAGGATTTGGGCTCTTTCCATGAAACTACTGAACCTTCTAAGAAAGGGAGAGGTTTTATCCTGTACACAATTTCCTAGACAAGACAATCAAGAAAGGCGTTTTACTCTACAGTTATATAGTAAGCCAGATATTAAATTCAAAAGGTTTGATTCCCATGTCTTGATTTCAACTTTCAGACCACATAAACATCACCTTTTTAATGAAAACAAACAAATATGGTTCACAATGAGACAAAACTTTTGTCTTAATAAGATTTAAAAAAGTACTTTGTGTGTTTCCTAGTTGTACAGTTGTACAAAAACAGCCTTCTGTGTTTCTTATTTTTTTCCTTTTTTTTTTTTTTTTGAGATGGAATCTCGCTCTGTTGCCAGGCTGCAGTGCAGTGGCATGATCTTGGCTCACTGCAACCTCTGCCTCCCAGGTTTAAGCGATTCTCCTGTCTCAGCCTCCCAAGTAGCTGGGACTGTAAGAGCACACTACCACACCCGGCTAATTTTTTTGTATTTTTAGCAGAGACGGGGTTTCACCGCGTTAGCCAGGATGGCCTCAGTCTCCTGACCTCATGATCTGCCCACCTCGGCCTCCCAAAGTGCTGGGATTACAGGCGTGAGCCACTGCGCCCAGTCCCCTGTGTTTGTTATTTCTATCATTTGTCCTTACTCAAAGAGATAACAACACAGAGAAAGGACAGTTCTTGAAGGAGAATACTGACGTAGAGTGACCAGGCATGGGCATCGTTATACATTCTTTCACCATCGGCTAACCCCAGGTCACAGCAGACATATGTAGCAGAAGCTACCATCTGAACAGAACCAATGTTACATAAGCAGTCATGATTTAGATGAGAAAGGAAAAAACCACAAAAATTATGCCAAAGGCTTTGTTTTAAACCATGAAATAGATGTCAAGTTGACGTCTCCCAGCAGAAGACAAAAAAGTAACTTTGGAGGCCTCGTATTGTCATATTCGAGAAGATGTCAACAATATGTTGAGTTAAAGATTTAAGAGAGAACTTCAAACTCATCATTTAATGGTTTCAGCTGGATAGCAACCCTTTCAATTTAAAGTAAAGGAATCAAATCCCTGAGGACAAACATCACTATGATGTGCCCTAAACAGCACATTAATGCGACAACATGTTGCACGTTAACAGCACATTAATGCAATAGATGCAGTCAGTTCAATGCACTGAACCAAATTCAATATAATTATACTTCAGAACTGGGACTTGGTTACACTTAGACCTTTTAGTGAGGTAAGAAGAGGAGGTGAAGGAAAGAATGAGAAACCAACCTCCACATAACTTTTGGAAAAATCACTCCATTATTTAATGACTCTCCATCTACAAATCTGTTCCATACCTAAGAAGCAGGAAAAAATAAAATTATCCTAATCCTTACATTTCTCGTAATAAGTTTGAAACTGCAGCTATTATTGGCTTAGACTCTGACCCCTTTAGAAGAAAAATACCACAGAGCATTACTATAAGGAGTAAATGCTGTGAAAATTTCTAGCTAGAAGAAAAAAGTTGCTTTTGTACTCAATTTGAATAATGCACTTTAATCTTATTATTTACCAAAAGAAAAAATAAACGTTTCAAACCCAACTGCAAAAATCAGGAGCAATTTGTTAAAGCGGGTTTATTTAAATATTACCATTTTCTCTCAGGAAATATTTCTCAAAAGGATCTTATGAAAAATAAATACCCTAACGTATGTGAAAATGCACACACATGGCCTCCATTGGGATTAGAAGCTTTCCCTGAGGTTATCTGAATTGCGACAGCAATACATTTTTCCCTTTTCGGGGAAGCACCTCAGCACTTCCTTTCTTGACCTCATTCCTTGAGCAGCCTGCACACCTTCATCTGATTTTGGAGGGCTAAATTTAAGGGCTTAGGATTACTGATGAATATTATTTTAAGTCTCATCTTTTGCCACATGCTAAACATGATTTCCGATTTCAGCATTGGGGGCAAGTACGAAGTGCAGTGAGAAAAAAAAAAAAGGAGAACAATAGAAATATTTTAACTTTCCTAATTTCTAATTTTTCTTTCCGAAATTCCTGCACCCTTATCTAACCTGCGAGTGTAAATGAACTCCCTCCATTTTTCTCTCTTAAAATGTTTTCCTTTGATAACAGCTCTTCCCCCACTCGGTTTTCCTAAGAGAAAATCTCATAAGGTATTTCTAGAGTCACTGCTTGTTAGGCTTCACACATAGAGCTGACTGTGAGATGAGAAATGAAGGCAGCTCCCTTTGAGTACATAAGAACTAGAAGGCAGGAGCGACTGAATACAAATACCGCTTTTTGCCTTTTTCTATTCGATTGAGAATAGACAGAAGCGGCCTTCAGGACTGACCTATGAGTCAGGCAGGTCAGGCAGAGTCTCCCTGGATGCCTGGAAAACTGCTTCTCTGTCTCCAGGACCAAAGCCTCACCGCCTCATCTGTAAAATGGGAACAGTATCTCCAGCATGTCAGAGCTATTGTGGAGACTGAATATGGTGCACCTACAACACTTAACCCGATGACTAGCACAAACAGGCACTCAACAAATACTAGCTATTATTGACTATCAGTCGATGGCATTCTGGCCTCAACCCATCAGCCTTATTGACTCAGGGGAGGTGTTTTTAAGCCTCCTGGTTCTTCAAATAGGTGGTTCTGAGATTCCAAAAAATTCCCTTGATCTACCTGCACCCCCATCTCTTCTGAGAGGAGAATGTATTCAACTCTGAGGTGAAAAGAAGAACAGCAGAACTTGTTACTCAACCTGTAGTTTAGAAACATCAGCTGTAGTTTAGCAAAACTAGAAATTAGTAACTTTATTTGAAGCTAAAACTGAATGAGACAGTTCAGATTTTTGGCTGAATTTGGGGGGGCATTTCTTTTTATTATCACTAAGTAATTTCCCTTAAGTGAAGCTTGCATTTTTCTATAATTCTGAAAAGAACAGGTTGATCATTGCTAAATTTATGCTATGGAATTAATTTATTTTACCTTTCTCATGACAAACTATCACAATCAAGCTGATGGAATAAAACATATTTAAATGCATTTCTAAAAATCTTGTCAGTGCAAGTATCTGGTAGAAGCTGATCTAGCAGGTCTGCTGAACGTGCTTTGGGAGAAAGGCTGCCTCTCGTTCTAGGCTATATTCACTTTGATACAGCTTATCTTGGGAGTGCTCGGCATATTGTAGGCACTCAATGAGTGGTAGGCCAACTTTATAGTCAATTAACTCTGGTCCAGATTTGCTTATTTTTAAATTGTCTACAACTTTCTGAAAACAAAACCTCCTCATCTCAATTTAATAAAGACTTACTAAGCATGGCAACACGGCAAGGCCTCAGAATTCCAACTGTAACAAACTGAAACCTACAAAGGGTTCTGGTATTGCCAATCCAAAATGTATCTGCCACGTGGTACTTTGAAGAGTCTGCTTTGGACAAGATTATTTAGCCAAAGAAGGAGTTAGAATAGGCAATAACTGATATGTGGGGTGCTATAACTTATTGCTAAAAGCGACTGTAAATTCATAGCTCGTAAGTTTGAGCACAGTGGTTGCTTAAGCATTAGCATTCTGTAAGGAACGGACAAGCAGGCTAACATTAGATAACACAAGTCAAAATTATTTTTGGGAGTAAGGAAATGTTGGTACCCTTTTGTAAATACCCAAGGAGACTATAACAAGAAAGTTTTAGATAAGTATCAGAAATTTTAGTGGACAGAAATATTAAATGCTGAACTATTTATTTCTACAGGTTATAATAACTATTC